GCTGGACCGGACTGTCCCTTAATATGGCCGGAGACTCTGGGCAGCGGCCTTGCCTCTAGCCCTGCTGAAGATGAGGCTGGGCTCCTTCCATGGCAGGAGGGCCAGAGATGGGATGTTGGAGAGGAACCGGACCCCCTTAGTTTTCCATCACCAATGAAGCTTTCCACCAAGCCCATCCTCCTGTGGGGGTCTTTAGGAAATTATTTTCCTCATGGCACCCCAAGAACTCCACATCCACCGAGAACAAAGAGATGGTCTGAAATTAAAACTTTTTAACTAAAAGCAGTGTATGGGAGGTAGTCACGTCCTAGGTTAGAATCCTCCCTGACAAAGGTCAGTCTGTACCTTACTGAGCCTGTCTACTGTCTTTCTGCATCTAAGGTAACATTCTGGGACTATCAAGGTAACTTCCCTTTTTTGGGGATCCCTGAGGGCACAACCACCGCACCGGGGCTGAGACCCCGGATCCCCTTATAGTCATTGTCACCATGCTAATTGCTGTTAACTCTCCTGCACCCACCTCAGTGAAAGAAGCATGTGTCTATCACCTTACTTTTTATCCAGTCCCAGAGGTCCCCCCCCCACTTTGTTTTCTCCCACCTCCCTAACCTGTCACCCATGGCTTTCATGTAACCCACTCACCTCCTCTCTTTTGATTGTTATGTAGAAAGCAGGGAGCAGAACTGCCATTCTCCAGAGCATTTTCTCAATCCATTGAGATTTTACTTACAGTAATTGTTGTCAGTTTGGCTCAAATAAACTCACAAAAATTCTCTACAGGTTTGAATGTTTCTTAAATTTGCAAGAGTTAAGCAGAAGCCTGAGGCCATGAATGTAAGTGCCTGTGCAGCCAGTTTGACATCAAACTCTCCTGAGGTTCTGAGGAGGAATAGGAAGAAGAGGAAGAAGAGAAAGAGGAGGAGGAGGAGGAGGAGGGAGGAGGAGGAGGAGCAGGAGGAGGAGGAGGAGGAGGAACTGGAGTTCCAGAGAGGGGTCTCTTTCCAATGTGGTGGGAAAGGCGCAGTGAGATGGGCGGGGCCCAGGCCTGAACTTCTGAGCAACTTCAGTGTAGCCTGCTGGGAGGTGGAGTGTTTGTTTCTGAGTCCCGTGGACCAGCTGGCTGTGTGTCAGGCTGTCTTCTGTTGGAGTTGTCCTGTAATCTGACAACCAAGGGGTCCAGGCTGCCTGTCACTACTTGAGCCAATTAACCAGAGACAGGGTTGAATCCTAGATGAACATTTATTCCAATCCTGCCAGCAGCATGGGAAAGCAGCAGGTCACATATTCTGGTGACCACGAAGGGACTTCAGTGAGAGATTCCTTGGGGTGAGTACCAGGGATCCTGCTTGCTGCCTGGACTGGGGATTCCTGGGGCTGAGGCCTAGACTCTTTTATTTGTAGCGCTGCCAGGAATTTCCTGTTCTGAGTCCCAGCTGCAGCCTCAGCAATCCCTGTCATCTCACCTGAGACCGAAGCTGAATCAAGCGTTTTGTAGGAGGAATCCAGCATTTGTGAATGTGTTGCTAATCTGAAGAATGTTAATCACTTTATATATATATATATTCACCTAAAAATTAAGGTTTCCAAGGGTTAAGAACTCTAACTAATTAGAAAGAAATTATGATTTTGGAGTAATAGAAAGCATGAAACATGAAGATGCATTTTGAAGGGGAAAAAATGGGTTCTAAAGCTGGTCATTTCTGATAAAGTTGTATGGTTTGTGAAGAAAGGTTTGTGAAAGTTGCAGAATATTTGTAAAGAGAAATGTTGAAAAGAATTTACATAAATGACATAGGCCAGTAAGTCAGGACAGGTAGAACAGAGAAACTGAGATGGTTATCTTCCCTAAACCAAGGACACTTAAGAGTAAAAAATTTGCAAGAGTTAAGCAGAAGCCTGAGGCCATGAATGTAAGTGCCTGTGCAGCCAGTTTGACATCAAACTCTCCTGAGGTTCTGAGGAGGAATAGGAAGAAGAGGAAGAAGAGAAAGAGGAGGAGGAGGAGGAGGAAATTTGCATTTTGCCTCCCTAACCAGAGGGTATATAGTTTATATCAACCTACTCAGGGAGACAGCAGAAATCCAATTAGTGTCATTTGCTGACCACACCCAAGGACAAATGAAGTTAAAGAGAGTAAGCCTCATTTAGGTCAGTTCTTCTCTAGTTTATTAAAAGGGAAAAAGTCTTTCCTGTTTTTGTCTAGGAATCAAATGTTATATAAATTATTGAATGGTTATATGTTATATTAATCAGGTAATTTTTTTAAAAAAGCCATCTTCTTAATCATGGGAACTGAAGGTTGCTAGCCTATGTTTGTGTTTAATATCCTTCTGTCACTTTGAACGCATAATAATAATGATGATATATGATATATAATATTTTGGGAAAATAAGTTTGACAATCTTCCCAGGGCTTGAATTTTAAGAAACTGAAAGGGCGAGGGCTACACCCTCCATCTTACCCTGGATCCTCCAGTTTGGGGCAGCAGCCTTAGCCATGTGCTCGGCAAGGCAAGGAGCTTCTTCCCGGAAGCCCAAGCCTCTGCTAGCCATACCTAGGATTTCTTTAAACTTACCAATGATAATCAAGGGATGTGTGCGCCATAGATACAGCCACATCCTGTGTAACAAGACACCGACTTGCGCCCTGCCAATAGGCAGGGCCCACAGTCCTCTCTCCTCCCCTTACTCCAACCCCCCTATAAAACCCCTCACCACACAGGGCCCGCTCTTTTTTGCCACTTGCCACTGAGTCGGTAAGGAGGGTAGGGGAGCCAAATCCGGGTTTGAAATAAAGACTCTTATGCTTTTGCATCGGACACGGCTGGCTACCTGGTGTGGTTTCTTGGGGATCCTGAAATCTGGGCACAACAGAAACTTTTCTTGACCTAGAATTGGCTTTAGGTCTTTCCAAATACCCTGGAATGCCCTAAGGATTTATTTTCTCTCATGAAGGAAAATTTTATACTTTGTCAAATAAAGAAATAGCTATATTATGCTTTCATTTATAATGCTACTAGTTATTTTAGAACATTGTGTTTTGCAGAAAGGACAAGATTTCATGTCATTTCCATTATAATCAGATCCATAACCATGTCATTTTAGAGACAGTCACTGTTTTGTTATAATGCATTTGGAAAAATGATACATCTTATGAGGAAAGGACTCTGACATTTTCAGATCATCCCCTTTGAACTTGATGAAAATTATTAGAGCTCTTAGAGTTTCTGGATTTATAGAAGTACTGGCAGGAAAAATCAGGAGAAACAATAAATTGATTATGGGACTGAATGACTTAAAATAATCATAGAGTTTTTGTAACTTGTTGAAAGTATTGCTGATTCTTAAACTTTATGTTTTTTAGATATAAGGAAGCATATTTAAAGCAATTTGGTAAATTATATATTTTTCTCCAGACATAATCCCTCCAGAATTTGGCAATTCTTCATAATTGAGTCATGGCAATACATTTCTTTGCCTGAATTCAATAAGACCTGTTTACAATTGTGGCTATATTAACCAAGACTTCGACTGGAATGTCATGTCTGAGAGAGACATGCCCAGACTCTGGATGTCACCAGAAAGCTTTAAGGAATGGAAACTGACCTTAAAGCCAATAAGAGCCCTTTGGAGAAATAGCCTGGTACCTTACTTGGTCATGTGGTTCATGGCAGTCTTTCCAGGTAAGGAACAAAGGTTACTTTTCTGGGAGATGGCAAGGGAGGAACCTCAAGACATTTGGGAACCATAGAATGTGAGGAATTCACCCAAGTCCACAGGTATTGCAGGAAACCTGATGGCAGCTAGATGGTTCGGTTTTCTTTGCTCTGAGGGGCTAATTAAAGCTCAATCATGAAATTCCAGCAAAGCCAAAAAAAAGTCTATATGATCAATTGCTATTCTTATTGTGTTTATGCAAATGGTCAAGCCAAATTGAAACTAGACTTAATACAGTAAGTGAATTGGTCTTTAATAAAAATGAGGGTGATTTTAGAAAGAAAAATTGTGTAATAAAATGAGGGTGATTTTAGAAAGAAAAATTGTGTTTCAATAGGAAATTATTAGAACTGAAATATATTTCCCTTCTACCAGACCATTTGCCATAATTCTTACTGTTCTAACTTTTGCACAATGATACTAAATTTTATAACAGTTTGTCTCCACCAGGTTACAAGCCCTACTCCCACTTAGGGAATACCATCTCTAGGCCCCATTGCAGCCTTGTTCTGTGCCCAGGCCTCATCGTCCCTCTGACAGAGAGCAAGCATCTCTTGGCTCTGAAAGAAACCTCCGTCCCTCCTCAGCATAAAGCAGTTACGGAAGAGACCCAGCCCCCTCTTTTCTCAGAAAGAATTCAGAGCCAAGGTCCTTGAGGAGGGATGTGGTAGGCAGTTAGACAGACATGAGCAGAGCAAGGACGATAGGCCACCTGCACGGCTTCTCTAGGGCACCCGCCCTGTGATGTCACAGAGCACTCCATTAAGGAATTCTTTGCAGTGGTTCTCAACCTTCCTAATGCCACGACCATTTAATACAGTTCCTCCTGTTGTGGTGACCCCCAATTTCATTGTTACAAATTAAACATAATTAAAGCATAGTGATTAATCACAAAAGCAATATGTAATTATATATGTGTTTTCCAATGGTCTTAGGCGACCCCTGTGAAAGGGTCGTTCGACGCCCAAAGGGGTCTCGACCCACAGGTTGGGAACCACTGCTTTAGAGGATTAAATATCAGAGCAGCGTGTTCACCGCATGATCCCACAATCAGAGAGGTGCAACGCTTTTGGTTATGCTGAATTTGAGGGCCTGGATTCCTGTTCAATGCCTGAGCCCAGGTGAAGAGTCTCCAGGTAACAGGAGAATTCGAGTGGACGTTGCTGATCAATCCCAGGATAAAGACAAGGATGCGTTCTGACTGAGATAGAAATCGGGATTCTCACAAAACAGACACAGACTGGAGGGCCCGCCCTGCCACAGGCAGCTTTGAGGAGGACCCACCTGGAATAGGCGGTGACAGCTTTGGAGACAAGTATGGAGATCGAGATCAGTATGATTCAGACCGATACTGTGATGGGTGTGGGGACAGTTACTGTGATGGCCTGCATGGGGTCTGGATTCCGATGGTGGCCGGGTTGCTATGATGACAGAGGCAGCAGAGCCTATGAGAGGCTGTGCCTCCAGGACCAGGCAGTGGCAGAAGAGACGTGGTAGTGGGTGCCGAAGGGATGCTGATGGCAGAGGAGGCGGGCCCGCTCTGAGGGCAGATGTGAGGGATGTGATGATCGGTCATGGAGCTGATAGGGGTGATGACAGAGGCCCCCCCGAGACCCAAGCTGAATCCAAAGCCTTGGAGTGCTCCTGAGGAAGACGCTTGCTCTGCTAGCACCTCCCAGCCAGCGGAGCAGCCTCCGTCTTGGAGGGCCAGGCCTGTTGGCGCAGCTGCTAGGGAATGAGACGTAGAGGAGTGGCTACAGTGGGGGGCAGGAGGAACTGCAGCCTCAGCTGGATGAGCCACAACCAGAACGGCGGCCTCGGGAGAGGAAAGACCTGCAAGGAGAGCAGATGAAAATAAAGTGGGTGGGTGTATCCCAAAAGGCCACTGTGGGAACTCCAGCCGTGGCCCAGGACACGGAGGAACAGACCACTGGCGGGAGTCAGAGAGGAAAGTTGGGAAAAAGGCTCCAACTCCCTTTCTCTGAGTCTCTCTCTACCCTGGAACGTTCGAAAGCAAGCCAAACCTCTGGCCAGACAAGACAAAATAAAACTCACATCTCCTGGAAAAAAGAAAAGAGAATCCAGCATTGACTTGTGATCAAGGACAGGCAGCTGGGTCATCTTGCTGCCATAGGCTTGGCGATGCTCCTCCCATCACTGTTCTCTGGGACCGTCCCCTTCTCTCAAGTCTCCTTTACAGACTCCTAGACACCCGGAGGGGTTTTCTGTTCAGGCTCCACTCAACATGTACGCTGTTGAAGCCGGCCCTGCCCTCTGTCGGTGACGGCAGCCGTGCCCAGGACCCAGGCGGCCAGCCCTGCCTGGCCTGTGAGGGCCAGGGAACGGTGCAGGGGAACATTCATTTGGATTGTCTTTTCTCCACTGGAAAATTACCAGAGAATTATTTTTTTGCAGATTTAATGTAATGGAAGTGGAAACCTGGACACATTAGAACAGTGGTTCTCAAGCTTGGCTGCACATTAGAATCACCTGGGAATCTATTTAAAATCCTCATTTCTGGGCCTCATCCTCCAGAAATTCTGTTTCTTTGTTATGGGGTGGGGCCACAACATTAGTAACAAAGAAACAGAATTTCTGGAGGATGAGGCCAGAAATCAGGATTTTAAAAAGATTCCCAGGTGATTCTAATGTGCAGCCAAAGTTGAGAACCACTGCATTAGAATCTTACAAATTAGAACAATTGTGGGAAAGTGGAAACACCAAGACCAGATTTTCTGCTCTTGCATATCTCTGCTCAGAGGCATTTGGAAGGCCAAGGGTGAGTCAGGGAGGCAGCCCTGGGTGCCATCCTCCTCCCACCCCGCCGACAGGTTTTGTTCGCTGTCTTTGATTTCAGATGTGGCTTAGAGAAAGACCTAGCAGGCCAGGTCGGCATGGGTGTGTGGTGCATGGGGAGGGATCAAGGTCAGGTCCTTGGGTGTACCACCTTGGTCCCCGTTTTCTTGGTTCCTGAGTTTGGAATTAAATCTGAGCACAGAGCGGCCTCGTGTAAAGCTTCTCCTGGCCTCTGCACCCCTCATCCTGCCCGCCTGCACCACCAGGTATGCGGACGCACACCGCACACCATAGGCTCCTCAGGGCCCTGTGCCCACACCCACCCACTTTTCTAGAGCGTTACCTTTCCTCAGGCCTCGGGCTAATGTTTGCTTATCTGTGAGCACCTAGAAGGCCAGGCTGAACTCTGGGAGCGGCTCCTGTCCACCTCGCCAATGCCGCCCTCCAGACATAATCCCTCCAGTATTGTAGAAAGTTTCTTTACAATAAAATCACTGTAGTGAAGTCTATGGAACAAAGGCATGAATATTGAATTTATTTTTATGTTTTTATATTTTGACCTATGGCTTCCCCAAAGGGTGGGGCAGAGTCTGGCAGCCCCTGCAGCTAGGAATAGAATTGTGTCCCTGCAGTTGCCCACTTGGGGTGCTGTCCATCCTTGTGTCTCATCTCTGGTCCTATGCTCCTTGTCTGTTTGTCTGTCCCGCTTTAGATCTTCAGAAGTTTCTCAAATGCAAAGAAGCTGAGAGAAAGATCATGAATGAAGAGGTCGGTGGGAATCTCCACACAAAGCTGGAGTGCCACCTGGCGGCAGAGGCGTGAGGGCGTCCAGGTTGTAAGACGCCTCTGCTTTACCTGCTTATTAAATTTTAATTGGGGGAAGCGGGGGGGGAGAGAAAGAGAGAGAGAGAGAGAGAGAGAGAGAGAGAGAGAGAGAGAGAGGCTTGTTGCTATATGCATTATTGGTTGAGTCTTGTATGTGCCATGTCCCTGACCGGGATTGGGATGACACTTCAGCCAGCTGAGTCCCTCGCCAGGGCAAGGCCCCTCTTCACCTCCTTTTTAAGAAGGTTTACAGGTGCATCTTAGAGTCTGTGAAACGAGATGTACCTGTGTTCACATTTTTATTCCCATGAATGAGCAATATCATGTAGACCAGTGGTTCTCAACCTTCTGGCCCTTTAAATACAGTTCCTCATGTTGTGACCCAAACATAAAATTATTTTCGTTGCTACTTTATAACTGTAATGTTGCTACTGTTATGAATCGTAATGTAAATATCTGATATGCAGGATGGCCTTAGGTGACCCCTGTGAAGGGGTTGTTCAACCGCCAAAGGGGTCGCGACCCACAGGTTGAGAACCCATGATCTAGACTGTTCTGTATCTTGCAAGGATCGTAAAAACAGTCCCTCAGCTCACACAACTAGAACAGGATGTGAAACAGGCTCATCTGCTCAGCAAGCACCTATCGTTAACCACTGTGACATCTGCCTCCAGGATGGCACACCTGGGACCAAGGCAGCAAAGTTTCCAGGAGGCAAAGCGGACTCTGCGGGTGAGGCAGCTCCAGCAGCGGTTTGTGTGAGGGGTGCCCGCCCTGTGCGGGGGAGCTGAGGGGTCCTGTTCAGGGAGATGCCTTCAGTACTAGGTGTCGTGGAGACATCTTATTCGAGATGATGATCAGGCATGTGATTTAGAACAAGGCAGCTTCCCCAGGACAAGCACAAGTCAAGCCGAGTCGTAGGTTGTCAAGTGTGCATTTGGTGAAAGGTATAAAGCAAGGTTAATGCATCACCTCTGCCCTGACTCACAATGAAATGTTAAATCAATCATTTCCTTGTGCCCCGGTTTCCTCATCTGTGAAATGGAAGAAGCTGGACTTAATGAATATGAATGTGCCTTCTAACACAATAACTCAATGGCAGTTTTTTTTTAAAAGATATATTTTTTTTATTTTTATTGAGTTTTAGAGAGAGAAGAAGGGTAAGGTAGAGGGAGAGAGAGACATCAACGTGAGAGTGAAACATCCATCAGCTTCGTCCTGCACGCCCCACACTGGGGATGGAGCCCGCAATCCTGGCACATGACCTGACTGGAATCGAACCTGCAACCTTTTGGTGCACAGGACAACACCCAGCCAGCTGAGTCACATGGGCAGGGAGGCAGTCTTTTTGAACCTATAGTTTGTGGATGAGGAAGAATAACCTTGTTAGAAGCTGATGGTCAGGGATAGAGTCTTTTCAGCTTGAGTTCAGTAGCACTGAGAAACATTGCCTGTTTATAACTCTCAAAAGGAAACACAGGCCCGTCCTGTCTACTCTTTTCAAGACTTCAGGGTGGCTGACAGCAAGAACGTGAGCAGAGGCGAAGTCTGAGATCAGCGTGTCACTTACAGCAGAAGTGATGGTGTGTCATGCGCCCTGGTCTTCGGTGCTGGGTGGCTCCCTGGCAGATAAATCGGCATTATTTCTAGGGTGTCATTGTAGCAGAGATCTGTCCCAGGAGAGTAAAGAAGGTATTCTTAGCTGCCAGTGGGAGGGGCTAGGGTTTTAACCATTCTGGGCGACTCTAGATTTGGTGGGTGAGGTTGCTGAGAGTGGGGCACATTTACACTTTTATTTATATGTGGGTTACACAGTCTCTTTCTGATTATATGTCCCATTCATTCATTCATTCATTCATGAATACTACTATGCATCAGGCATTTTCCTAGACACTGGAGATACAGCCGGTAACAGCTGGTCCTCATGGAGCTCACATCCCACCAGGGAGACAAACAAGATACCTTGTTATGTCAGGCAGTTGTTTCAAAGGGAAGAGGAGTCAGGCTAGCGCCCAGAGTGACCACGTATGTTATAGGAAGGTTGGAGAAGTCTCTTGAATGAAGTAGCATTTGAGTGAACAGAGAGAGTTTTTCTAAGCAGGGGAATGACAAGAACAAAAACCCCGAAGAAGAAATGAGCTTGGTATGTTCACGAAACAGCTAGGAGGTCAGGGAGAGATTAATGGGTGATGATCCCAGACTGCGTCGGGTGGGCCTGTAGGCATTGTCAGTCATGGCAGGAAGTTTGAATTTGCTCCTGGTTCTATAGGGGAGCCATCAGGGGACCTGTCAGGAGATGAAGCACGTGCCAATATATGCTTAAATGCAAATGCCGTGAGCAGAGTTAATTAGGGGCAAAGACTGGGGCAGAGAGAGCCCCTGAGAAGCTGCGGCGGAGTCTGAGGACATGTGTGCAGGAGGAAGCTGTTGGGATGAGGGCGAGGGGGGCTGCATCTGGGCATGTTTCTAACGAAGAGCACAGGGACTCGCTGCCGGATTGGGTGTGAAGGGAGGGAAGATGCAGAGTGACAGTGCTTCTTGGCTTCAGCAACTGGGCAGCGGGCAAACTGGGTGAGGAGCTGGCGAGAGAAGCAAGCTGCGTGTGCACCTGGGGCCTGCCTGTTAGAGCCCAGGGCACATGTGGGGGATGGAGTCAGACACCTGGAGTCGGAGCTCAGGGCCATGGTCTGGACCAGGGGGCTATGTGGGAGTTTTCAGCATGCATGTGGATGTGCCATGCTGGGGCAGAATTTAGGTCCCAAGACCATGGATTACACGGGACTTTAACCCATTCGGTGGCTTCAGGCTGTGCTGTAGCTCCAGCTGAGACAGCAGGGTAGCCATGCATAAGAGAAGATGCTGTCAGAGTTTTTCAGTCCCCAAGTTACCTCCTTCGCCCTGGTACATGGCTTGATCTTCAGACATGTCATTCATGTCACCAGGCAACAAAGACGAGCAGACTTCTAGCTGTTGTTTGATCCTGAGAGGAATAACTGGACTGCCATCTGTCTGCTGGGACTTTTTTGGGACTCATTTCTCTCTGTACTGTTTCCCTCCATCCTCAATAAATGATCTTCTAGGATGGAAATGCTTGCACACAATAGTCACTTAAAGGAAATTTATTGAAAGAATGAATACTCAATAATTTTATAGGTGAGTCAAGCTGCATAAGGTTTGCCTTTCCAAATAAATGATAAATGTGTGAATAAAAATTACAGCCTTTTAAAAATATATATTTTTTATTGATTTCAGGGAGATGGAGATAGAAACATCAATGATAAGAGAGAATCCTTGATGAGCTGCCACCTGCATGCCCCCCACTGGGGATTGAGCCTTAAACTGGCATGTGCCCTGACTGGGAATTGAATGGTGACCTCCTGGTTCATAGGCCAATGCTCAACCACTGAGCCATGCTGCCCGGGTAAAAATTACAGCCTTTAACTTATCGTCTCCTATGACCAAAAGTTTCAAAGGAGTTGCCTGTGTTTCAATTTGATGAATTCATTCATAATTTTTTAGCATAAATAAGGGTTTTATTGTTCAGTTTGTGTGAATGACACACTGACATACCCCTAATTCACTGTTGCACACACCCGAAGCCCTGAAGCTGCAAGAGAAGCGAAACCCATTGATGGTGAGAAAAGGGTGGGGGGTGGGAAGAACCTGAAGGCCTCTGAGGGTTAACAAGGCTACTGGGACCAGGACCAACGGCCTAGGAATAAATCCAGGATGAACAGGCATCATTCAGGGCTGGAGCGGATGGCGACTCAGGATTATTGCTGGGACTGCCATGTGCTTCTTGATGGGTTATTGGGCCTTCTCTTCAGCCCTCACTGTCCACAACAGTCTGGTGCTCCTCTGCTGTCCCATCTGGCCTAGTGATCATAGTCACACAGACACTCTTGAAATAGGATTTGGGCTGGGGCTGCAGAACTAGGCCAAGGCCCACCAGGGAAACCTGGGAATCAAGATTCTTGTCCTCTTTGGCTCTAGAAGGGGAGGGGGGTGTCCCAGGCCACACGTTATCAAATCTATGAAAAGTTCTCTGGGAGCCCAGCCTGGTGCTGGTTTTGGAGAGTCAGTTCTTGCATCACTTTCCAAGACCCCCAAAGATCCTGTGTTGGTGACTCTCTGGATACTTAAGCACTGAGTCCCGAAGCGTCTGTCCCACCTGCAATCTCTCACTCGATGTGTCTGACTCAGTACCTGGAAGTTCAGGAGGGTGGGGAGGCAAAGCCCAGACCCCCTCTCGCTAAAGATGTTGTTAAAATCCCGCACCAGGTCACCAAAGCTGAAGTTATACTGGAAACGCATCCCCCCTCCAGGGCTGAAGCTGAAGCTGAAGCCAAATTCCTCAGGGGGATGGGGGTCCTCAAACCTCAAGCTCCCAGGGCCCCACGTGGCCCCTTCCTCTTCTTCATCATCCTTATCTTCATCTCGAGTCATCCTTCCCAAAAGGATCTGTGTGGTTCTGAGGTTCAAAAAAGCCCCAAAAGATTCAAGCCTCTGAACCCCCAAGCCCCACCTGAGGCCCATGCATACTTGTAGGAAACTTGCACTATGCTCTCATTTGATTGTTTAACAAATAGTTCTTGGTTGCTTGTGTGCCAAGTGTTCTTCTAGGCACTGGGGATAGAACATGGACAAGTCCTTGCCTTTCCAAAGTTCACATTCTGGTGAGAACAGGCAGGTGATAAATAGGCAGCAAATAAAATATAAAGCTAGGTAGTTGTGATGTTATAAAGAAAAAGCAAGTACAGTAAGGATGAAGGTCTGGTGAAGGTACAACTGTGGAAGGGTGGTCCAGGAAGGGCCTCTGAGGAGGCAGGCTGGGGGCTGAAAACTGAGCGAAGTGAAGGTGATGGTCTTGTGAAGGTCTGCAGTAGGACCAGTCAGAAGGAACTGCAGCGCAAAGGCCTGGGTGGGATGAGGTGGCATTCCCAGGCAGCCAGCAAGAAGGTCACCGTGTCTGAGCTACATAGGAGCTGCCAACGAGAGTTCAGGTATTATGCTCTGTGAGCGGGGGAGCCAACAGCCTTTGAGGAGTGACATGATTTGGTTGAGGTTTTCAAAGGACCAGTGTTATTGCTTTGCAGATAGTGGATCACGGAGGACAAGATTAGAAGTGAGGAGAGCTGTCAGGTCACCGGGCAGCCAGGTGAGAGATGGAGGCAAGTTAGAATGGTGAGAGGAGGAGATGAAAATGGTCAGATCCTCGATGTATTCTGAATCTACAGGATTGTTTATAAATTGGATGTGGGTTGAGAGAGAGAGAGAGGAGTCAGGGTATCTCTAAGAGTTTTAGCCAGAGAAACTGTTGACTGGGATGAGGGGAATGCAGCAGGGATGACAGGTGGGGTGAGGGAGTGGAGAGCTGCACTGGGGAGCCACTCGGATGTGGATGGTTCTTAGAGCCACAGGTCTGGATGACTTTATCGAGAAAATGGGTTAGTGATGGGGAAGAGGAGGTAGCCACACATGCTGGGGGGTGGGGGGGAGGCTGGCACTTTTTCTTCTCACTATTTTGTCCTTATAAAAGAGAAATAACTGGCCTAGAATTCCTTCCTAATCGGGGTTAACCCGTCACATGGCAAAACCACTTTCCCTTCCAAAGACAGTGAGGTGCAAACCAACTGGGGGATTCGGAGCTGCGTGTGGCGTTTATCAGCCGTTTTTCTGATGTGAAGCCTCTCACGTCTACCTTTTTGTCCCTTCTTTCATCTTTTGTCTTCTTTACCTGTGCTGACAAAATGCACAGAGTGGCCAGCATGAAAGCACACAATATCTTTATTGTCTAAATATGAGTACTCGTCCTATGGACCTGCTTCTGGAGGAGGATAAAGAAAACACCAGTTTGCTCCTAGGACTGTGCCCCCAAACATGCCCTGTGTCGCCTCCACTGCCCAAGAGGAAAGACAGTGCATGCCCTCCCTCAGAGGGCCTGGGCTCCGGAGAAGGTCCCTGGTCTGCTTTGCTAACAGCAGATTTGTGATGTTAACTTAAAAAGGAAAAAGGCCTTTCAAGGTAAGAGGCCAGATGCCTTATTTGAAATTGGTAATAATAGATCTTTGGGAGCATTGATTCAGGCAGTAGACAACATCAAGGGGCAGGGAACATTTACATCAATAGATAGAAGGCATTTCTGTTGGTGTCGGACACTAACACAGTCACGCTAGCTGTAAACAATGTTTTAAAATCTCAGTCAGGTAGCCATCAGTCCAGTTGTCCTATGTCAGCTTTCTTATTATCTTTGCAAACAGATGGCACAGGTTGCTTAGGCCCAGTACAAGGGACATTTTGCCCTGTTTTAACATCCAAAGATTTGAGGTCTAAGATGCGCAAGGCAGTCCCTCTGGGGCAGCTCCGGTTCTATTAATGTGGCTCTGTTTATATTATTGTTTATATTTTCCCTCCTTCTGAACATGATTTTTCCTTGAAAGCAGCGCTGACCATTGGTGGACAGCAGCTCCGATGAGTCATGAAAACTTCGGTCCTCCATTGGCAGGGTCTTGTTTGGGTTCGTCACCACTTCGTCCGTCCTCATCACAGGAAGGCCGTTCCTGGATGTCAGGCTCCGAGTGTGAAGGAAAGCAGCTTCTCTTTTCTGGAAGCCTAGGGCCACAGTGAGTGACAAGAGGGCCAGAACAGAGGGGCTTTACTCTCCTGCTCCTTTAAGG